CTTTTGCCACCCCCACCCCCACCCCCACCCCCGATAGTGCTGCTCAGTTCTGTCCGTGTTGCTGCTTGTAGTACTGGCTATGCTCTGGAGAACTCACTAAATACTGTTAGGCGATTTGCCCTGCATTCTCTCACTTCGAATCCCAACGACCATTGTTTCGCAGCAGAAGAAATCGAAACTCGGGCGCCCAGCGTTTAAGTTTGGGGGAATCCGGGCCTGGCCTACTGACACCTGCCAGGAGCTACCAGGGCCGACCCGCAGGAGGGGAGAGCAGGGCTCCAGGACTTAGAGCTCGCAGACCAACCCGAGACAGCCGCCGCCGAGTAATATAAAGGCGCAGGCCGCACCACGCCGTGCGTGTCCTTCCGCGCGGACGGCGCTACTTCCCGCCCGGGCGCCGAGGCCGCGCCCACCCCGGGCTGCTCGAGGGGGGACGGCGGGCGCGGACGGGCACGCGCGAGGAGAGGGCGGCGGGGCGCTGGCTGCTGCGCGTGTCCGCGTCGCGAGGGCGTCTGGAGCCTCGTGGCCAGCGCGAGGGGAACAAAGATGGGGCGGGGTCGCGGAGCGGGGCGACCCTCGGGTTTCCGTTTTGTGTCCTGGTCGGTTGGCTCTCGCTCGGATTGAGCCTTAGAGGCGGCAGTAGGCGACTTCCCCTTTAGTATCTTCTTCCTTCGCGTTTATGTTTCTGATGTAAAATTTTGCACGAGACCAGGTTGTCCGAGTTCTCACGACGTCGTCTTTTTCCTCCTGTGAGAAATGAGTGCCGGAGGGCGCTGAGGGGAGGGAGGCAGGGCAGGGCGGCTGGGACCGCCTGATGGCGCGGTTTGTGCACGGCCAGTAGAGCGCTGGTCGGGGAGGTGGGAGGAAGCGGTCGGGCAGGGGCGCTCCGTGTTCGCGCCGCGACCTGAACGGGAAAGGGGCGGGCAGTAGTTTTCCTCATAACGCTGATGTAACTTTGGCCCCAGAGCCCCGTGCTAGTATCTCCAGTAATCCTTTTATTCCCCGTGATGGCGTTTATACCCACTTGATGAGTCACGCAGTTTACCTGTCTGTCCGTCGGCTTCTCTCGGCACAAACCCGAGAGCAGAGAATTGGTGGGTGTTGGTCCTGGAGCTTAGTACCTGGCAGCGTAGGGGAGGCGGCTCTGCGTACTCGCTGACGCAGCAAACAGAAGCCAAACGGGGCGCTTTGTTCGAGGGTACTGTGGGTGAGCGCAGAGCCACAAGACACTGCGAAAACTCGTCTCTCCCAACTTGCTCATTTGATTTTGGAGCAGTAACCCATTAAGGACCAGTAAGAGGCAGTTACTCTTTCCACTCCATTTTCCAAAGGATGAAAGAATGGAGCTCTTTTTGGTTGCTTTCCCCTTCATTCTAGGGATTGATTCTCCGAGGTGAACCTGCCCAAAACTTATGAACAAATGAAAGTCCTTTCTTCATAGACCCTCAGATAGATACCTCTCCTTCAGTATGTGGGAGTGTGGGTGGCTGCCCGAAAGCAAGACAGAGAGCTCAGGGACTTTCAGAATACCTACAGGGAGGTGCTGGGTGCAGTACTTGGAAACACGTCTGGGGAGTGTTTTTCGAGAAAAGTTTGATTTCGTTACTAATGCCTCAGTCATTATAGCATCCTAACATGCAAAACTAGACCTATCTTTGGAGGTCATTTGTTCATCCAGTAAGTACAATAAGTATATTGACAGTATGGGTTTGCATTGCTTTTTTTAGTACCGGGGATCCAGCTCGGGACCATGTGCTTTTGAGGCGGGCGGCAGAACCACTGAGCTAAATCCCCGGCCGTCTGTCATTTTTCTCATTCATTTGCTGCCACCTTCTTTGCTAGAGTCCCTTCACCATTTCTTTCAAAACTTTTCTATTTTTTGTTCCAACTCATCCAAGTTATAAACAAAAAAAAAAGAAATAAAATCAGAATCTTTATAAAATTAACTTTAGCAGAATTTCACTTTTAGCTTGTATTTTGTAAAGTCTAAAAATGATCGTTATTTCCTTCAGTTGGGTGTTGTGTAAATGAAGATAATTACTATCCAATCAGATTTCACATTTTGCATGACCCTAACCAATTTTACAGTTGCATACCACAAAGCAATGTGGAGAACTGCAAAATTAAACATTTTTTAAAAGAATAGAGATGTCTCTAGGATTATTTTAAGCTCAGTATAAATGTATGACAGGGTCCTAGTGTACAACAGCCCCAGAAAGAATTTTCAATTTCAATTTATCTCAGTTGTACTCTTTGACACTTCCATCAATTTAAAAAAATTCCCCTTTCCTTCAATCTAAAATGCTCACTACACCCAAATAATCCCTGAGGCTGTGGTTTATAATTCTTTCCCTTCTCCATTTCACGTTTAAATTTATCTTAAACTTGCTTAAACATGCTTTTGAACTATCCCTACTTTCAAGCAAGCTGGCCTTCTGACCCCTCGATTGCTCAAGCCTAGAGGTCAGATTACCCACATGCTAGTGGTTTTTAATGCTGAAATCACTCAGGAGGCTTTTTAAAAATGCTGATTGGCTGGCCTGCCCCTGACCAATCAAATTAGAATCTGTGGAGTTAGAATCCCAGTATTGCTATTTCTATAAAGCTTCTCAGGAGATTCTAATGAACAGCTAGTTTGAGAGACGAGGTAATGAGCAGCCCAAATTATGTTTAAAGCAGCGGTTCTCAAACCTGAAGGACTTGTTAAAACATTCTAGGAGAGACCTCTGAGGGTTTTTTTTTTTCTAATTAAGTTTATTGGTGCATTTTAGGTGTAAATTATGATCACATGCATCATAGGGAATTTGTGTCTGTATATGATATATCTTGTTTTTGTTTTGGTGCCAGGGATCAAACTCAGGATCTTGTGGTTGCCAGGCAGGTGCTAAGCTACATCCCCAGCTGTATAAGGTGTATCTTGGTTCTTACTTTTTCCCCATTCCTCTTCCCTCCCTTCAGCTCCTCCATCCCTCCATATTTACAAAAGCCTTGTCTCCATTTTTTCCTTCTCAGTTTTTCTTTCCCTCGGCTCCCTCCTAGTTCCCCTTTTAACATTTTCTTATTTCCCGAAAAATATGGACTGCTTCATGAATTTGCATCTCATCCTTGCTCAGGGTCCACTCTAATCTCTGTATCATTGCAATTTTAGTGTATGTGCTGCTGAATCTAGCACCCCCAAGTTTCTTCAGTAAATTTGGGGGTGAGGCCTCAATTAGTGTTTCTAACAGGGCCACAGGTGAAGCTGTTGCTCCTGGTTTAGGGAACATACTTTGAGAGCCACTGTTTAGGACATCAAGAAAAAAATTGGAAAGATTTGGTATTTCACACAAAGCTTTGAAGTACTTATGGGGCAAATCAGAAACTTGGGCTTCATTACCTTTAGGGTTTGTTGTGATTTTTAAAGCTTATTTTTGGACACATAATATTTGTATGTATTTGTGGAGTACTGTACAATTTTGATACATGTATACAATGTTTAATGACCAAATCATGCTATTTTCTATATCATCAATCATTTCTACGTATTGGTAACTCATGCTTTTCTAGTTATTTGAAAATACAGATTTTTGTAGCCTATTAGACTATTGAACACCAGAACTAATTTCTTCTATGTGACTGTGTTTTCTCCCCGATCTAATCTCTCTGCATTGTTCTTCATCTCCTTCCTGGTCTCTATTCCACTTTTTTGATACCAATTTTTTAGTTTCTACAAATGAGCAAGAACATGGAGTATTTGCTTCATGTGCCTGGCTTATTTCACTTAACATGATGTCCTCCAAAGTGTGATTTTTAAAAATATTTCAAATTGTATTTGAGGAGGGACATAAAACTACCATAATTCTTTCATTGGTAGAGCTAGCAGTCCTAAGCTCTATATGAACCCCCAAGCCAAAGCATTTCTTTATATAAACTTCAGCTTTCAACCCCCTATGATAATGTCTCCTTCATGTGGATTTTCCCTGTGGGTCTTGTAGTAGCCCACAACAAAATACCATGTGGAGAATAGCAAAATCTCTCATGCTCAAATCTCACTTTTCTCGACAAAAAGCCATAGGACAGAAATACTGTTTGTCTTGTCTTCCAGATCGATAGGCAGATATATTTTGAAAGTTCAAGCCTATGACAGAAAACCTGACACACATGGCATGCAAATACAGAGGACCTGCCAGGGTTATAGAAATGAAGTGCTTTTGTTTTTGTATAAATTTTCCATTTGTTCTTGCACTTTGTGCTGTCTACCATCCCAGGAAATACTTCTATTTTAAATGGAGGAAATCAGGAGCAGGAAGCTTTCAAACATGCCCAGAACCATACAGCTCATGAGGTATATGAAGTGAAGGCGCGTGGCTTCCAAACTCTGCATTCTTTTCTTCAGAACATATTGTAATTCAAATGCCAGAACACTGGATCTAAAGGGAAGAAAGGATTTGATATTTTTAACCCTGTAAAGTAGAATGTAAAAAAGACAACAATTTCCAAGTCCATGAAGCAGTTACCATGTAGTTAGAAATCAGATGCAATTTATGATACCTAAGGAAAGAACAATAGGGAAATGAAATAGAGAAGTAGAAAAGGTTTAAGGTAAAACATCTGAATAGTTAGCTAACAGTCAGGGTCAGAAAGAAATTCTATTGGCCCTTAAAAGAAGACGGGGCAGAAAACTCATGGGTTCCGTTAAATCCTACTGTGTTACAAGCCACTCCCAAAATGTAGTGGCTTAAAAACAAAGTGTGTTTGCTCACAGTTCTCTGGGTTAGAGGTGCGGATGGGTGAGTGAGGATGGCTGTTTCCGCTCCGTGTGTTGACGGGGGTGCCTCAGCTGGAAGATCTAAGACATCTTCATCTGGGCCCGGTGCCGCTGGGTGGGACCCCTGGGACCCCTCCCACCCCGTGTGGCGACCAGGTGGGAAGACTGAGGCCTAATTGGCCTCTTCGGCCAGCACTGAGAGGAAAAGGGGGATCCAAGCGAGCTAACACGCCGCAGGGAGAAGTAGAAACACCGGAGGGTAGGTTGTTTACCCGGAGAAGTACCGTGGGGGTGGAGACAGATGGATTCTGTGAACTGTAATTGCTCTGCCCGTGTCTGGGTGAATAAAGCCAAGGTGGCCAGTGGCTTGCGGCTCTATATCGAAGGGAGACGTGAGCTCTCGGGCCTCCCAGATTTTAAACCTGTTTGTGTGTGGCTATTTGTTCATCCTCCACACCCCTCGGTTAGATTTGAGCTCGGAGGCTGGTCCTACATGAGTCTAGGGTCTAGTTACATGATTTCAGCCTACTGTAAAACCACATTCTATCTTTCCTAAAATCAGGGGAGGGTATATTAAAGCCTTGTTTAAAGTGACCTCTAGTTGATAATTTTTGTAAGTGTTTTTCTTTGCATTATTTTAAATATTGGAAACGTCAGTAAATTCATGTTTTTAACGACAGCAGCCACCACACCATGGTTTTGTGGCCAAGTGTTTATTGACAGTTTGTCAGGCCTCACTCTGGGTTTCCCTCCCTCCCTCCCTAGCTTGCCAACCAACTGTAACTTGATCAGTTTGAGATGGGACTGCCCAGGGTCATATGTTAAATAAGACACGTCCACTTTTCTGATTACAAAATCCTCCCTTGCCTGGCCACTTAAAAACTTAGATAATCTACAAACACATAGATCTAAGGATTTCTGCTACATACCTTAGAGGTCACACCTGCAAATTTGCCTATTAGCACAATATTTCTTTAATTACAGATTTTTTTGTTTGTAACTATAGGCTGTCAGAGCACTTAAAATTTATTCTTTAAAACATGTTCTATCTTCACATTATAGTGAATTGACTTTTACAGAGAAAACTTTGTCGTTCTACCATGTTTATAACTTTTAATTTTTGCATTTGAAAAATGCTTTAGCTGAGGTTACATTCAGTTACAAGCAAAACTGAAGCCAGGTAGTACACATAATGCATTTAAACATTTTCCCAAAAACCAAAAGACATTTAAGAATATCTTTGGGTTACAGGCATGCAGCATCAGGGGACAACACTGGTAAGTGCACATGATAACTGTGTAAATCTTAGCTGTTGATTCTTTCCAAATTTGAGGGCAAATGTTTAGCATATGCAGATTTTATATTTACAAATAAGTATGGATTTCTTCACAGTAAGTCATAAGCTTCCTGCAATTGTATTGCCATTATGCAAACATTTTTAAAATTCTTTCGAAATGTCATGAGCCCGAGTCACATTCTTTTAAATGACATCAGTGATCGCAAATCTTCCTCCTCTTAGAGCTGATTTTAATTTTTAGAAATACCCCAGTCATTTGAAACCACACCCAGTTTAGTAACATTAATAAGGAAAAATTTAGAAAGAATAAAAGTGAACTGAGAAGTACTTAAAACTCCAAGAAAACCTTGTTAAAGGCTATCAAAAATAATACAAAAAGAACACTCAAAAATACAAGCTCACTCAAGAAACCCATGCAAAATTCTCAAGATGCCAGAAATTACTGAATTAGAAAATACTGACTTCAAAGGTAATTCTTTAGGAAAAAAATAGCAAGAAAATGGAGAGATCTCCAATAATTTACCTAATAAAGTAGATTAAAAAACAATACAGAAGAAAGAAACAGCGGATAGGGAGTTTTGTGGGGGTTTTTACATGAGACTGCTATGTAAAGCTAGCCATGTGCTAATATATTCTGGAAAAATCAAAATATCCAGAAGAAATAGACTAGATCAAAGCTGGGGGAGAAATCAAAAAGACCTTAGCCCTAAGGGTTCTATGAGCAAATTCCTGCAAATTTTGAAGGTTATATTCCCTTTCTGAATGCACAAAGATTAATTTTAGGAATTAAATAATTTTTATTATACAACAAAATGGTACAGAAAGAACACTCAAAAAATATAAGCTCACATGAGAAAACCAAATGCCTAAATTCCCCTCAAAGAGCAAGCAAGTTAAATTCTCTGAAGTCACTGTTTAGTATGTTTTGGGTAAGTTTTACCCTAGAAATGGCAGGGTAATAGTTCATAAAATAAACTTTGATTAAAAATTTTCAAATAGTAAATTTTAAAAAAATTTTTAAATATTAGTAACTATTAAACCATTAACCATCACCATATATTTAATATTTTTTAAAATATTAAAGCAAATTTTAAGACAGCCAAACTTTAAGGAAGGCAAGCGAGAAAATGTAAAAGTTAATTCAACATCTCATCCTCATTCTTAGGAATAAGTTCTATTAAGCAGTTTCTAACTTGTCCTTCCAGAAACTTTCCATGCATATATAAACACAAGTTTTTTCTTTTCCCCTTTTGAAAAGAAAATGAAATTATACTACACAGATGGTCCTGCAGTTGCTTTTTTAATTCAAAGAAACCTGGACATCTTCCCACATCCATACATACAGATCCTACCACTACTTTTCACAATAGTTAGGTACCACGTCACCCTCCTAGAGGGGTGATGAGTTACTGTTTTCTGGTTTTCGGAAATTACATACACTATTATAGTGAGCATCTTTGTCTTTGCCTGTCAATTAAAATTAATACATAGTAAAGGAATTGCAAATTGCTATTTGGATATATATTTCCAAATTAGAATCAAAAGGGCGAGATTCTAATCCCACTGAAAGTGCATAAATGTTGAAGATAGGTGGTGGGTACACGACAGTTTATTCAACCTACTTTTCATGTATATTTTTAAATTTCTATACTTAATGATTATAGAGGCATTCTCTAGAATCAGGTATAAAAGTGCCTATCACAACTATTTAAAAGTATATTGAAGTAATTCTGTAGTAAGACAAAAAGAGTATTACAAAGCATTGAGACAAATGGCTTTATTTTCAGACAATACTTTTGCCTAGAAAACTTCAGATTTGTTTTAAAATCTAGTGTAAAATAACTACTAAAAATGAAGTGGCCCAGCCTGTAGACCCCACTGAGGCAGGAAGATTGCAAAGTCAAGGCCAACCTGGGCAACTTATTGAGCCCCCCATCTCAAAATAATATCAAAAGGCCTGGGGATGCAGCTCAGTGGTTGTGTGCTTGCCTTACAGTGCACAAGGCCCTGTGTTCAACCCTCAATACCAGAGGAAAAAATCAAGAGCTTTCTCAGTGATCTACTAATCACCTACTAGGAAATATAATTTTTTAAAATATACAATTTACACAAGAACTGAGATCTATACCAAAAAAATAAAGCAAAAACATTTGAATAGATTAAGAAATATTATGCTCCCAAATATATCTACTCATTTTTTATAATTTTAACTAAAATTTCAATGAGTTTTTTTAAGCTGAAAAAATTAATTTCTATCTGGAAGAAAAAGACTAACCAGATAAGATTTGAAAAAAGAGTAATAGATGATTCACTCAGATATTAACACATATTATAAACCCATAATAATTAGTGACATTGAACTGGGAAAAGATTGACAAATGGAGCTGGGGATTTAGCTCAGTGGTTCCGGCGCCTGCCTTGCAAGCACAAGGTCCTGAGTTCAATCCCCGGTAAAAAAAAAAAAAATTGACAAATATAGTAGATTAATATTTCAGAATGCATAGACATGAAAGAAAATTCAATATATGGGTAAATGAAGCATTACTAATGGGAGGATATAGATTAGGGGAAAAAAAATATTAAATGCTTACTTTTTACTATACACGGAAGTACACACGCCAAGTTAAAGCAGAAATTAAACTGTAAAGGAACCAACAGAAAATATAGTTAAGTGATTTTTGGATGGGAAAGAGCTAATCAAAACAATGGAAGAAATCAGATTTATATGCATAATTTAGAACATCTGTATGTCAAATTATAAGTTGCACAGTAGAAAGGTATTCATTAATATCATTAAATCCAAGAGTTAGTATTTGCACCTTTTAAAAATCCTTTAACAGCCCTCCTTTTGAAAGAAACTCGACAACCTTTTGGGCAACAGCAGCATCATGGTACTATGGCTGCCAACTCAGAGGGAATCACTTTGAAGATGGTTCATTTGAAAGATTCTCTTTTCTCATTTTTAGAATGCTAGGCTTTTGTTGCTAGTATGTTTTGTTTTGCTTGTTCCTACCTCATCTCCTTTGTATAAGGACCACTTGGATTTCAAATGGTTTTTGCTCATTTCTTTTTCAAAAGCACCCCTAAAACAGTTTCCATGTACTCTCTGGACAAGGTTTAACTGATCGCATTACAGCCCACGAGTAGTTAACTATTCCCATTTTCCAATCTAGAAAGGATTTAATTTATGGCTTTAACTATGCAAGACAGCAAACTGAAAAATAAACATAAACAAGTCTCTTGAAATCATTAAAGGAGAAGCCACGCAGAAAGAGAGGTAACTGTTAAAAGTACCTGCAATCCTCAAAAGACCATGTGCTCAGCCAGTATCCACATCCTTAGCTGTCACAGGCCACCCTACAGGGACATAGCTTAACTCTGAGTGGTGCCCAGATGGGAAAAGGTCCCGGAGGCCGCCTGCTGGGTAGCTGGGAGTCTGGGGAAGTACCTGGTCCTCAGTGGGAAATGGGGACTGTTGAAAGCATGTTCTCATTCCGCAATCTGCATGATTGGACTCGTGTAACCATCAAACAGCCGCGGGACTTACTCATTTCCATTTTCCACATTATGGAACTCTGAAGCACAGAGAAAGTTAAGTAGCTTGCGGATAGGCATACAACTAGAAAATGGCAGAAGCTGCCAGGAAGGTAGCGGGGGCGGGAGCCAGAGCTGCTTGCCACGAGGAGTTCCGTAACCGTGTACAAAGCCCTTTCGTGCACGGGAGCTCATGTGACCCTCACAATATTGTGAGGCGCTTAGGAAATATTCTCCCCAGTTTACACTAAGGCAATGGGAACCCAGAAATGGGTTGCGGGGTGTGTCTTTTTTATAATCTGAAAGAAACTGAGCCCAAAGCATGGATAGACATGTGACAAAAATTGAACTGGGTGGAAAACAAAGTTTAGAAAGCTTGGATCAGAGAAAGAAGTCCCCTGAACTTTCAATAGATTAAACTCAAAGTTCTTGGAGAGGAGTAAGGCTCGGGCGATGGAGGTTATCCTGAGCACAGCAAGAATGCAACTCTCAAGCCATTAAGATTCATGACCATGCTAGATAATAAAAGTGAAAGAAATCGCATCCACAGCATTCCCATTAGTTTGGAATCTGCCTTCCTGAAATACTAGCTCCTGGTCAGTGTCACTGTTTATCTAAGAATCTTGTTGATTTGTCTGCTTATTTACACATTCCTTGTTTAAATAATGAGACTAGAAGACTAACCACCAAAATGAGGTTTTCTTTGAGCAAAAGGATTTTCACCTAATTTTAAGTCATGATAATATTTATATACTTTTAGAATTTGCTTACATAGAACTACAACATCATCCAACCTCTGAAATTGTTCCTTAATTTTTAAATTCTGAAATATTTTGAGTACAAAGAAAACTCACAGGAAATATGCATGCCTAAACTTTTATGAAATGATTTACATGAAAGGCATTAATTAAAACACACCATCTGTTTAAAAGAATACATTTTTTCTATGATTGTTATCCACACTAACTTATGTAATTTTGTCTGATTTTATAGATATATTCTATATTTCAAAATGTTTAGTTCTTTGGAACTTATGCATCAACTACCTGTACAAGGAAAATTTGTTTACTATAAATTGAGTATCCTCAAGTTTTATTCAGTGCCAGTCAGTATCAGAATTATAAGGACATTCTCTTTAGTATAAACACCGCTGTAAGTTGCCATCTAAATCCTCTCTCAAAATGAGCAAATTCCAAGAAATAACCCCTTCCTGACTTCTTGCCTGCTCTAAACACATATTCTTTCTCTAATTCTCTGCCATCAAAATCCTTCAGTGACCTGTGGCAACCAAACAAGTTCCTAATATTTGATCTCAAATAGTTTTTTTAAAAATGGGTTATTCAGAATGAAATATTTTGGCTTTGCCTCAGGGGGAAAAAAAAGGCTTTCTTAATTCATGGTTATAACGACATTGTTCTGACTCCTTTTTTTTAAATTGCTGGCGCTGGCATGAATGAAATATAGGATGATTCATCCAATGAAAATTTGAATGCTGGTGAAAAATCTAGGTGAGATGAAGAAAAGCGAGATCAGGGAACTTGCAAAAGAAATGCTGTCAGAAAATGAAAAAGAAGCTCACTGAATGCAGGAAACATACCAGGTTTGAACTCTAATATTTAAGGCCTGCTAGAGGCTGGTGACATATGACACCAGGACTGGGAAAAAAGCGAGGGTGAAAAGTTTCTAAGCTGATGATTAAATAGATGTAACTCACTGACGAGTGTGCCCATGTGGGATTTTAATTACTCAGACATCTGTTTAGCGAAGTGTACTACTAAATAGGGATCAAATACAGAGATCAGATTACGCGTGGAGGGGAGTGGAGATGACATTCATGAGTCAGAAAGGAGCTATCGGCCAGGGGAAAATCAATCCCGGCTTTACATCTCACCAACAGAGAAGCAATTATTTTAGATGTGGGGCTGGTTAGCATCCTAGGTCATGAATGTAATTAACCCTCGAGTGACAGAAAACAACAAACCACTGTATTTAACTGTCCGATGCTACAAATAAATGATTCAAATTCCTCCTCTATTCTTTCCCCTCTCCTCCATAGATTTACTGTAGTTTTTCTAAAGTTCACAACTTTCTTCCCTTTTCTAATTTAAACTTTCCTTCCTGGCAGCATCCAATCAACTCATTTAAATGGATAGCTTGAACAGAAGCAGGATTTCTCTCCACAGTTCTCGCAGTGGAATCCTTGGGGAAAGAGGAAAAGATTAAGTCATCATTTGAGTTTCTTCAGGCTCAACCAAAGGCTAACAATTCACAGAAATATCTTGGAATCAAAGAGAAGACTCTGGTGCTCTCACTGGCTGTTGTTTGGCACCTTGGATAGCCAGGGCAGAGACACAAAACGAGAGCAAAGACTGTAGGAAACTTCCCTAAGAGAAGAGGGGAAAGAGAGCATTTGGTTGCTTTGAAATGGATATGTGGAAACCAGCCTCACTCGGGCAGCCTTTGCAGCCTTCTGCTGAGCTCCAGGCCCCTGCCTGGCAGCCTCTCACAGGTGACGGGCAGAAAGGGGATTGTCTTTAGAATCTGCACTGAAGCCACCGCCGCCTCTCCACCACTGAGATCCAACTGGTTCCCTCTAAAATGGCTTTTTAAAATTTGCAAATACAGAAACAGGCTGGGGAGAACCTAAGCAAAAGTGTACATTTACTGGATGAGTACTTGACCAGCTCATGGATTCCAAGAAGTTGACCAAGCCTCTCCCCCGAAGAGCAGGCACTGGGCAGTTCCTGGAAGCTGAGCGGCTGAACTCCACTGACCCCTCCAAAGGGCTGCCTTTAATGACTCGAGTACCAACTCCCGAGGCTCATCTACGGCCGCCTCACTGTGGAAATCTAAAAATTCTTCAGAGATTCCCAATGGCCTGCATGGGCACTACAGTGTGGGCCTTTCCTTTTAAACTGATCCTCTTTAAAAATGGTTTCAGGCACTGCTAACCTCAGCTGAGTAGATGGGGCTGTCGGAACCAGATTCCGATGCCCAGTGTAAAGAGTCAAAGTAGCAGCAGTCCCAACAGGGTAAAGTTTAAAAGAACCTATTCTCTTGGGCAAGATGCACTTTAAAAGTGTCTCTGCCTAGGGCTGGGGTGTGGCTCTGGTGGACTCACCCAGCTTGTCCAGGGTAGGGGTGGGAGGTTGTCTTCTGGTTTCTGGTGGCCTCATTCATTTAGTAATTACTTCTAAATAACCTGCTGTGAATAAACCTAGACCTGTGTCTCGTGTGTGAGCAGTCTTAAGGGATTCTGAGAGTAACTTTTCATATGAACACTGGATTTTAAGCCCCTTCCCCTTGGATGAGAAACCTACAGATTTTGCCTGAGCAACGAGAGCACATCCTTGTTAAGGTTAAGATTTCACTGTCTCTGTTCAGAGCCTTCATTAGGCTACATCAGAGGACAACTGAGATGGCTCTGCAATTAACTGCAGCCAAGCGTCACTTGTTTTTATAATGTGACTTGGGTATAACTGAAAAATAACTCATGCCTCTTTTCCTTTCCCTTCTGAACTGGATAGATAACTGCACATAAGTTAACTTTTTATTTTTGGTACTGGGGATCAAACTCGGGACCTTGCACTTTCAAGGCAGGCACCAGAACCACTGAGCTAAATTCCCGGCCCCCACATAAGTTAATTTTTTAAAAAATTCTAGCTATTTCCTCAAACCTGAGGTAAGAGCAGTTTAGAAGACATTTAGCAGCCAAGCTCCCCAAGGGAGGCCAGGAACTTCTAACTGACAAGGGCTGCTAAGGCCGCAGAGTCTACCCAGAATGCATATGCAAAGTATCTGGAAATTTGGTTTGGGCTTAGATCTGAGCAAATCTGATGTTCTGGTATGTTTGGATTCTAATTTGAAGTAGTTGCCTTAGGTGTTCTTAAATTTTTTAATTCAAATTAAAGCATTCATTAAGATTTAGCAAATTAAGACTTGGTGTGAGTTGAGATTTAATTTGCTTCATAAGGATATAAAGATGTGATTCAAAAATCACAGCAGCCAGGAGGCTGGGTGAGTTGTCCCTTTACCTTGAAGAGGAGATATGGATTGAGGACTAGAGTATTTTATTATAGTTCACCCCTTGTGCTGCTAAAATGTACTTGCTGCTTATGATAAGTTCACACAGTGCCCCACAATTCCAGAATTCTTGGGTGTTTGGTTTTTTTTTTTGGTACCGGGGATTGAACTCGGTTCCTTGTGCTTGCGCAGCAGGCGGCAAAACCACTGAGCTAAATCCCCAGCCCAATTCCAGAATTTTTGATGCACTTTGTTACTGAGGTCACTTAGAAGGTTAGTGGAAAAACTAGTTGCTGCAGATACAATGGCTCTGAAGCCTGAAGTAGCTAATTCTCCATCTCCCCTTTCCAGTACTCCAGAATTGCTTCAACTTCAACCAGCAGCCACGCTCATGGTCCAGGCAGATTGCCTACCATCCCCAATACAGGTTCTGTTTTTGTGTTTGATAATAAAACTAGGCATGGAGCATGGAGAGCTATCCCAGCGGATCATCTGTGTGGCAAATATGCTGCTTTCTTGCATTCTGCCACAGAGCCCTGCCTCCTCCTCATGACCAGGATCAGTGACCACTACTAGTACTGAGACTGAAGTAACCTAGTGGCAGCTTTGGTGTAAAGGACAGTGGGCCCCTGTGTCTACGGATAAAGTGTTGTCCTTCTGGGAACCAAGACCACGTGACCCTCAATGTAAAGTTTTGGCTACAAGAAGCACAAATCTTCCAAATGTACCACTAGGAAGGACAGTAAGCAAGGCCATGCCTATTTCCTCCTAGCCCCCATGGCCCTAGCCCCACGTATTTAGTTTGGGACGTATCACCCTAAATCAATGATCAACATATGGCGCTAGCTCAACCTGTAGGGTATTATCTCCAAGCAAAAGTCTCAGATGAATGGAGCAGTATGTGATAGGGCTGGCAGGCTCTAGCCCAAGGCAGCGTTGGATGGGATCTTCTGTCAGTGGACAGGCATACTACTCTCAAGTCCTTGGGTAGAGGTGCTAGCTGAGATCCTATGGGTAGGAAAGGCAAACTCATACCCAGAATACATAGTCCCAGTTAAGATGAATCCCTGCCACTTCCAGAGTGGAAGGAGTCCACTGGAGTCAACTAACTTCCAAATGCTTGCTTAGACTCCTTCAGGATGGTGGTATATTGGGGGGGGGGGTCACATTGTTCTTTGTTATTGACAGTTTAGTAGCAGCAGTAGCAAGACCAGCGTTGGTGAATGGAAGTCCATGCTGTTGGGGCCATGTAGAAGCCCCACTCCTGCCACTATTCAAATGCGCATTGTGTCAGCACTGCAGCAACCCACGAGAAAGGCTGGCTGACATACGTGACCGAGTCATGCACATTCTTTAGTGCCTTTTTGGTAGTAGATGTTTCAAGAGCCATCAACTAATACGGGACACAAAGTTCATGCCAGTCTAAGCCCGACCAAGCTACCACTGTATTTACCACTGTCCACGAGCCTGTATGTATTCTGACTTTTCTTTCCACATACAGCAGGTGACTACCTGTATCTCCAGGAACTTTGCTCATCTCGAGCATTTCCACTCATCTATCTTTCGGGTCTCCCCGTGTAAGGTTACAGTGCAGCAGCATCCACTTTTGGCTTGCAGTCTTTATCTGTGAAAGAAGGTTGACCTTTCCCTCCTTCTGAGCACCGCAGTTGTGAAGCTAGTGAAATAACAGTGAAGGACATACAGAGCTGAGCCACTAACTTGTGCAGCTTCCTTGTGCTCTCAGACCCTATTCATGCCCAGCGTCTGCCACTTCCACTTTATGATGGCTTGCTGCCAGACCCACCCAGCTTTATGACCTGGTGGGTCAGATGGACTCAGGTCATGATGGATGGTTTGGGCTGCAGTTTTTTGATGTCCCCTGGTGAAATGCTCTGTCTCATTCAGAGCACAGAAATGTACAAGAACTTCTTTTCGAATTGTGCAGTTGCTCACTACAGATAAGGATCTGGCTTCAGAGTCCTAGGAGTCTACGCTGCAGCCCTACTGGAAATCCCCAGTAACCTTCCCTGGCCTCCTTTCCCCCCAACCCCTCCAATCACACAGGGTCTGCTGAGTGGCATAGCAGGGCTTCTCGCACTCATATCTAGACCTGCTGCAGAGCTCTGGTACCTAATAAAAGGATCAGAAAAATATTCTGAGTGCTGTGGAAACTACCCAGCGCATGTCCACCTCTCTGAGCTGTCCGATACCTTCTTCCAGTCTCACAGCAGTTGAGGTATTTCCACTTCACTTACCATGGGCTTTGGTTCCTCCAAGCTTCCAAGAGTCATCCTAGAACCTAGGACCCTTGACCCGGGTGGTAAACCCTGCACCCTAGGAGAGCTCCCATCGTCAAACTCTCCTCATCCAATGTTACTCTCTTCAGTGGTTGTACTGCTAGGTATGAAATGAACTAAGTTTTTCCTTTTGTGTACTGCATTTATCTAGCGAAACAGAAGGGTCGCCTGTGATGAATCTCAGCACGGATTCTGAGAAAGAATGGGGAAGAGAATCCAGCAGAGTTGATTTCCAGGGATCTGCCATCTTGGAATAATGATACACTATTAGTACAATATTTCTGGTCCAATGTTTAAAATCAAGATGAAAAGGCTATATGGATCTTTCCAAAGCATGCTTTGTTTTTGAATGCATAAGTATGTCCCCTAATTTGGTCTTACATCTAGTGTTTATAAATGCAAGAGTAATGGCTTAATTAGTATCTCTGCTAACTTAAATTGCAGGTTTTATTGTAAAACATACTTGACAGTGGAGGAAGTGGGAAGTGAGGGAGGCCAGGAACACAAATGTTTCTCAGGCTTTAACAAAAGGCTGACTCCTTTTTATGAGATGAACTTTGACTTTATTTTTCTAAATAAATTTCTTTATATAATAGCACTATCTGGATTTCTCTTCCAAACCATATTTTTACAAAAGTGAAAAGGAGAGCAGTAAATACAATTTATTGAGCACTTACGTGCACAGCTGTGCAGGTTGTGTACTCTACAAGAGCCTCGGCACTTCTTGGGTGGCATTGTTTACATACTAGTGGGCATGAATTTGCATATTTATAGAGAATTTTCCAGCAGATGGCAGTAAAGTGTCTTGATTTAACAAAATAAGACTATGAAAATAATTTCTGCCAGACAGAAATAGCGTCTTGGGACTGGGCACCCTGTTTGCATAGGGCATCAGAGAAGGGTAACTAACAGTGGCATTGCTTAAACATGTGCCAAGCCTGGGCTCACCCACCCTGATTTAAGCCTCAGCATCCTATGAGCAGCTGGGTGCTATTAGTAACTCGCCAAGGCCAGACTCAAGGTGGTGTAGTTTCGGGTTACAGTGTGGATCTCTTCAGCTGTAGCCTGTTCTGTCCCACACTACATGATGATATTTCAGAAAACTGAGGCCTAGGAACCGAGAGAGGGTTGCCCCCTCTCACTCCACCCTACTGCTGTTACTGTGTACTTACCATGGCACAGCGTGGCCCTGGGGACCAAACAGGGAACATTTCATTCCTCTCAGAAGAAAGAGCAAACTTGAGCCTTAGAGAAGAAATGGGGGAGGGGAGGGGTAGTGACATTCGTTTTAACCCTTAAATGACATTTGTATGACTTAAACTATGCAGCCATGGAAAATGAAGCACTCAAATCCATTACATTAGTTCTCAAAGAGCTGGACTTCTAATACCTCTGAATCAACATTTACCGTCAGTCATGTATACATTTTATATTTTAGTATAAATTTTAGCAAGAGTATATTACCATAAATTCTATATACATGGAAAAATTAGAGGCTTTAAAAATGCATAAATATCTGTATCAAATCACCTTGCGATAATAATATATTCTTTTGATCTAGCACAGTTTAAAATCTGTGGGGAAACACATCAGTTGTTAGTAAAAGGAACCCAGTTATAGTGATCCCTAAATTAATCCCTGAGGAAATGTTTTCCTAAATCCATGAAAATAAAAAATGAAAACTCTGCTCTGTGAAGCAAGTGGAGGTTGCTGTTTGTTGTTTTTAAAAAACCAAAACTTCATGTATATCCTGAATATGTTTTCAAAACCTTTTCAAGCTGCACAGGGATGGGGAGCTATTTGGAATTATGTTAACTTGTTAATGACAATTCTCTTTTGGGATATGAGAGCAGAGGTGCTACTTTTGCTTCTTTCAGTTCATATATTGTCTAAAGTTTCTAAATTGATTACTTATTGATACTTACAAAAAATAAGATCTATTTCTAAAGCACTGATTGTGTCTGTCTGTGTCTGTGATCTCCAAATCTTTTTAAAAAACATTGATTATACATATTTCCAGAAAGATAAGTACATGGACAAACCAAATTTTAAAAGTCCAAACTCTTACCTGACTGGTAAATGCAAGAGTTATAAGTAAACTGTTCATTTGGTTTCTTTAAATTCTGGAAGAAACAGAATAGCTACAAAGCCACACTTCCTAAACAGTGAATTTTGCAGCAAGATAACCCTTAGTACCTGTCTTAATCAGCAGGTTGGCTGTTTGAGAGCACAGAGAAAACTTCATTCTTTTGAAGGTTAGTTTCTAAACTTGACATGTTGGAGATGGCTTCGCCCAGGAATTTTTATTTTTATTTTTTGGTACTGGGCATCAAACTCAGGACCTTGTGCTTGCGAGGCAGGCGCAGCACCACTGAGCTACATCCTCGGCTCGCCCAGGAATTTTAGGTCAGGGCTTCTGCTAAAAGCAGAGCCTCAAGTCAAGTTCAGAAACAAGCCAACCTTTCATTCTTCCTCTAAGGCAAAAGGTTTTCTTTGAGAGGAAAAGATTAGAAATATAGGTCAATGCCCTGTGAATGCGAGGCTGTCCTGTGTCTTCACATCGGCATTAAATATGCCTGTTTTCTGATCAGTGTCTTGTGCCTACTCCACTCCCCCCGTCTGAGAAGATGCATTTGTTAGAAAACTCCATGAGGGCAGGAAACGCAGTTTTCTTTACCATAAATCACCTGTTTAAGTTCCACTTAGAGTGTGGGACCTGGCAGGGTACTGCACAGTTGCTGGCCACATGTGTAACTTGCCACTGACGATCAGACTCCCGTTAAGTCACGTCAGGCTTGTATGCAGCTGTCACGTGCACCACTGCAGGTTATTTCAAAAGCATATTTGAGCAAGGTGAGCAAGTCTTAACACCCTTACTGCTTAGACTCGAGACAGAACCCAGGATTTCCACGCCTTTTTCAGGTACCATTCATTTCTCCTCCCACAACAGGTGAACTGGCTCTGTCTGTAAAAATAAGGGTCAATCAATTCTCTTCCTTGTTGTTCACGTAAGTGAGAGGCTCTAACAATGGTTGAACTTTAATCTACAGGGATAATGGGCAGCGGGAAAAGGTTAGTCTGCACAGAGAATGGGAATTGACAAATTCAAACCAGGGATAAAGGTGTCAGAATATCAATGAGAGAGAGTTTTTACTCTAACACAAATGAAAAAGATGTTTTGTTTTCCAAACAAGTTTTTCAGTTAATAAAGTCTAATGATCAAAAAATTAGACCTTTTACCAGATGTGGTGCTGCATGCCCATAATCCCAGTACTCTGGGAGGCTGAGGCAGGAGGATCACTCGTTGGAGCCCAGCATGGGCAAGCTGGTGGCTTAGCAAGACCCTATTTCAAATTAAAAATTTTGGGGGGGCCAGGGATTTAGCTCAGTGGTTTTGTCACCTGCTGCGCAAGTGCAAGGACCCGAGTTCCATCCCTGGTACCAAAAAAAGATTTTTTAAAAAGACTGGGACATAGCTCAGTGCAAAGGCCCTGGGTTCAACTCCCATTACCATTAAACCAGACTTTTCAGATAGTACAACTTCATGTTGCTTAAAAGTATTTTAAGAAATATCTCAGAGCATGTAATTTCCAAATTGCATATGATGAAATTATAAACACCCAGCTGAACACTATGAAACACTACTATTGGTTCAGTACTATTTGATAAATATGAAATGATGTACAAAGTGAAACACCTCAAGTATAAAGTACAATGACAGAAACACAGTATGGGAAATTCACCATTGAAATAATATCCAAGGAGGATTACCAACACAGCATCTAAGGAAAAAGTCTTAAAGACGAGAACTACTTTTGTTTTATGAGCTTTTTAACAATCTGATAAAGTAAACTGGACAGGCAGGATACAGAGAAGATATACAATGGGGAAGAAAAATTACATTTTCTTTCAGTCTCAAATTACTGCAAAGAAACAAAGGTTGATGTGAATATTAAAAAAAATGAAATCGCAGTTGGGGACGTAGCTCAGTGTGGGGCATGACTTTAGCACACACAAAGGCTCAATTCCCAGCCCCCAAAGAAAAAATGAAATCACTAACCACAGAAGGAAAAAATGGGACATTTTTGGGTATGATGAAGTTTTAAAAAAATGCAACAAAGCTTTGCACTATTGGGAAACAAATGATGACAGAGACAAACCTGAACAATGCCAAGAATAAGTGGGTAGGTTCCCTTTGAGAAAAAAAAAGGATCCTGAGAAGGAAACCTAAAACAAAGCCAGAGTCCTCCCACTGATGGCATGGGGGCCCTCGGGTTTACCACTGAGCCTCCTAGAGGTCACATAAGCAATGTCCCTTTGGGACAGAAGACACCAACCAAGATGCCTCAATTGGATCCCGGATTTCCCAAGGCCAGAAATCACTAGATAGGAAAAATAAAAAGGACAATTCTAACGCTATTTTTATTTAAAATTTTATTGAAATCTCCTTTAGCTTACCCCTTTATACCTTCCTAGGTGAAAACAGGTGTAAAGTCTGAGCTTCATGGTGTTCTTTTCAAATTATTCTCATTGAGTCTCCGAAAATATGACTTTTGAATTGGGAGCATGAAGAGCCCAGGACAAGGGAACACTGAGGGACTCGTCTTACTGCAAGCCTCCCTGTTTGTTCGTGATGAATAAGAAATCTTTCCATGGGGTCAGAGAGCATGTGTGCAAGAGCAGAATGTCTCATAATGACTTCTACCCTCCGCAGCCCCATGAAGGGGGAGGCACGTTTTAGGCAGGATGGAAAGAGAACGTCAAAGACTTGAGATAAAAGAGCACCTTCCACAATTCCTGGGAAAAGCTGACGGGTTAATGCATTCATGTACCCAGCATCAGAGCATCCTTTAACTGTCCCTTCTGGTCAGAATCGGGGTTTTGAACACCATCTCTCCCCTATATCTAGTTGGAGGTGTGTTCCCCCACCTCCCTTGTGGTTTTTAGTAGAAAATTAACATGTCTTAAAAGCTTTTATCATCTGTTTAAAATCTACCCAGTGAGCAAATCCTATGCATGCAAATGACTATGCATAGTTCCTCATGTATTCAAGCTACTAATTTTTCAAATGTTAAATTTTGAATTTTTTTTTTTTTTTTTTGGTACCCGGGATTGAACTCAGGTCCTCGCGCTTGAGCAGCAGGCAGCAAAACCACTGAGCTAAATCCCCGGCCCTGAAAATATTATCTAAAGGTATTTTGCACTGAATAAATCTAGAGTTAGTCCAAATATTTAGAAAGAACTTTAACAAATGTTACTCATGAATACACTGCTGTGAGTTTCAGTATAAAAGCATGGCTTTGTTTAGTTGATAAGTGGTCGATTAGCTGTCTCTCCACAGAGGTGTGTGTGAATATCCGGGGGAACAAACGGTACCTGGAAAAGAAAATCTGCTGTTAGAGACTTATCTGAGATTCAGCACAGTCAGCCAAAAGATTCTACGTTAAGGAATTGGTCCAAAGTAATGCTGAGTGAGAGCTCACATGCACCCTGATTACTAGGTTCCAGTAACGCTTTAAGCACTGAGACTTGAGAGAATCGGCTCACAGCACCGTGCTTAGCGAACTGACTAGGGGAGGGAGGTAAATGTCACAGCAAAGAGGACGGTCTCCAAGCAAAAGACTTCAACCCAGTGACAACATCTTACTCTATTAGAGACTTTATTTTTTATTGTATCAAGTAACTAATGTTGCTTTCAAGATCATACCTAATAGATTTTTCAAAAGTCAGATCACACAGCTTATTACTAATCAGCTTCTGCATTCTGCTTGCCTTACAAATCATTTCAGAGTCTGTATTTTAATCAGATCCGGTCATCCCTAAAAACAATTCGCATAAAAAACTAATAAATGCTTTGTAAATATTAGTATTACATAAACCTAGGAAATTAATCATTTTCATTGATTCTTATTACCCACATACTACTAGAAATTTAAATTTATAAATGGAATATTTTATGAAACATTTAGTATAAAAGTATTAAATACATTGATTAATGATGCATTGTGTGATGTTGATATGCCATAGAAAAAAACTTCCATGCATACAAAGACATGCCAAGTAAAATTTAGCAGGAATTCTAAAATACAAGAAATGGATTTTAAAACCTAAGAAAGTGAAATTGTAAAATTTCCAAAAGACTCAAATTAAGCCTGTGAAAATGTTTTCTCTAGATAAAACCTAGTGTTAGGGACCGGCTTTGTCCTTTGTAAGCTACAATGAACCCTTGACTTATGAACTCAATTCCTTCCAGAGGGCTGGTTGTAACTCAAGTTGGTCGATGAAGGCTCAGGCTCCTTTGCACAGCCCTCAAAGTCTCTCTCCTGTACACAGGCAGATCTCAGCGTCCTCAGAAAGACCTTGGCCCAGGATTTCTCAATTAACCCCACATAGGAAAGGATGTAGTAATGCCCCTTCCAGAACTCTTTAAGGGTTAAATCTATAACTAAGACCATTTGGAAGCACCAGTGGCCAGCATTCAGGTTGTAACTCAAGTCTTTGGTCCTAAGTTAAAACTAAAATTCTGGTTGTTCATCTGTTCGAACAACTGAAGTTGTTCATATGTCAGGCCAGTCATAACTCGAGGGTCCACTGTATTTTTTTTTTTTTTTTTTTGGTACCGGGGATTGAACTCAGGTCCTTGCGCTTGCACAGCAGGCGGCCAAACCATTGAGCTAAATCCCTGGCCCTCACTGTATTTTTATCTATGCCTTTTATCAACTGCTTGACATGAAAACCCATAGTTTGTATTACACTAATTTCTTCCACAATTTGTCAAGTTGGGCAAAACAGAGCTGTATTTTCTCAGTTGTGGTTAAAAAGAACATACATGTGTACACAAAAAGCTCCTTTTAAGAATAGTTTCTTCAAAAGGCCTACCACCCTTCAAAAGATTCTAAAATATCTTATGGTACTCTATCTTACTAGGGCAATTTAAATCCAGAAAATAATCTCATTTAATTCATTTTTGCAAAAAATTGCTTAATATGCATTTTGCCATCCAAACAAATAGTGAAAAATAACTGGCCAAATATTACTACATAGTTTCTCCTATATTAGTATAAAATTTTTACTTAATGCTTAAATAGAGAAAGAAAAATGAGACCATGGGTCCTGAAAAAAATTTTTTTTGCAGGGGGGAAGGTGAGCAAGCGGAGAGGGAGGGAGACAGGAAGGGAATGAAAAACAAAGATGTTACGTACATGCACCAGCTCCCCACAATGAATGTTAATCACAGTCTACTGAAAACACACACTAATAGAAATTAAAAATATATTGGAGTCAATTCTTCCTGTGGATAAGCATTATTTCATTTAATTCTAAACTTTATGAAACTGTAATACAGGCACATAACTTGTGACTAAAAAAATTATTAAACATCATTTTTTTTTTTTTTTTTTTTTTTCCGGGGATCGAACTCAGGTCCTTGTGCTTGCAAGGCAGGCGACGGAACCACTGGGCTAAATCCCCAGCCCTAACATCATCTTTAAGGTTGTATAATAAGTAGTTGAAACTAAGATGAGAACGCAGGTCTTTCGGACATTTAAACCTGAGCTTTTAGCCATAGTCCTCATCAAAGAAACAAAGGAACATCCAAGAGCAAGAAACTTTCCCTCTGGCTGTCAGACACTGCTATCCTAACTTACCTCTGATAGCCCTTTAAGAATGCAAGTGAATTTAGCTTATCAGGACCCACACAGAATTGTCTTATAACAATATCGTTTTCTTATGTTACCAGAAATGTGCTGAATGGCAGCCTGTGTGCATGTCTTCTCCCCAGAATAGATGGTTCCAAAAACCACTCCCCTCACCTTGTGTGGGCAGAGAGCCAGAAGCCAAAGGCATCTGGAAACACCTTAGGGCTAGGGAGTGGGCTGGGGCTGGGACATAGGTCTTCTGAGGCCTAATCCAGACCTTCCCTCGTATATATTTATTGGAAAATTTTAAATGATTACTTATTTCATTTCTAACTTTAGTATTTAGGATGATAACAGATAAGAGAATATCCATTAATCATCTGTCTTGCAAAAAGAAGTTCTAAAGTAGCTGTTACCAAGGGGTTAAGAAATAATTGAACAAATGAAAGCATTTAAAAATTGTATTTGTCTATTATAGAATTTACTGCTTTAAAACAGAAATTTGAAAAAAATCAGCTGACCAAAATTCCTCTTAACCAATTTTTAAAATGAAATTCCAAATCAGTACAAGTAGTTAAAATTTTTAAATGGTATTTTACACCATATTAAGTTCTAAGGTGAGTTTTCAATTTTCCCTGCTGCTGTTAAATATACTGGAAAAAAAGTAAAAAAATATTTACTCAAGAAAGTACCATATCATTTTTTTAGTCTAATAGATTGCTCCATTTTGAAGACCTTCAACTTTCCCCATTTGGGGCTTTTTTTTTTTTTGGTACCAGGGATGGAACTCGGGACCTTGCACTTTTGAGGCAGACAGCAGCACTACTGAGCTAAATCCCCGGCCTCTGGGGCTTTTTCCTGTCATTTTCTTTTGTTTTTCAGAAAATTGAGCTGAAAGTTATTTTTAAACTTTTATAAAATATTGTTCTTGAATGAATTTACATTCCATGCATGAAATTTTATTTTACCGATAGACTTTCATAATTCCTTCATTTAGCAGTTTCACATATTTTGTTATACAAAGTTTGATATATATTTGTATATTTTATATATAATATGATATACAACTCCTTTGAAAATATTGATATAAATGATACCAAAGCTGGTTTAGTGAAACTTTTGGTCAAAGTATTCTCATAAACCTTCCCAAGTACTTAAACTTGCAATTGTGGAAAGAATTTACGGGCTGAATGTATGTGGGGAAAAAAACCCATTTTATTCTTAAAATTAGTTTTTGTGTGTGTTTAAAATCAGTGTTCTGAGCTTTTAAAACCACGTTTTAAAAAACTCTGATATCAAATAAGTTAGATACAGTTGTAATTCATATATGACATGTAAATTTTAACAACTGGAATTTGTATTTGCTAATATTAGTGGAGAAGAGAAGAATATAAGCATGCCTTTTTTTTTTTTTTTTTTTTGGGTACCGGGGATAGAACTCAGGTCCTTGCACTTGTGAGGCAGGTGGCAGACTAAATCACTGAGCTAAATCCCCGGCCCAGTATGCCTTTTATTTTGCATGGTTTGTGAGCATTTTTCAAGACTCAGTAGTTCAAGTGTTTTGGTTTTTTCTCTTGGCAACTGCTTTGGGGGGCGCATGATAGTATAGTTCTCTAGGCTTATGAGGCCTAAATCTTAGGTTTGGTTTAGGATTAATGTTCTGCAAAATTCATTTTTAAAAATACTAATCTGAGCTGGGGGTAGAGAACTTGCCCAGCTGAGTACAGCACTAAAAAAAAAATCTTAAAAATAGCTTCCTGTTGCCAGGCATGGCGGCACACACCTGTAATCCCAACACGCAGAAGGATCACCATGGGTTTGAGGCCAGCCTGAGCTATATAGTGAGTTCAAGACAGTGTGTACTACTAATTGAGACCCTGACTCAAAAGCTTCCTGTTATATTACTCCAAGATTACCTGCATATCATAAACATGCAATTTTTTACATTTAGATAGTAACTTTCTTTATTTAGCATCTCTTTTCTACTTATAATACTTTCATCAATGTGAATGAGAGCTTAAGAAAAGTGATACGTGATATGCAGGAAGGATGAAAAACCAGAATGTATGGTGTATCAGCCTCTTCTAAGTGAAAAGCTGTTTAATTTGAACTCTATTTTGGTATTCGTTAGTAAAGCATATATTAGTATAAAAATGTCCTGATATGTATTGAAGATGGACTTGAAAATGTATGTTAATCAGAACATAATGTGTAAGGAGGAAAGGGAGATCAAGAAACAAGTAAAGCTGCAAGCTGACCTCCTGGAGTTCAGTATTTCAAAGTCTACACTATGCCGCGGTGGGTCTAGAGTCTAGATCTGAAAACCAAAAAACTACAGTATACTATGGAACTTCTCAAACTCCATTTTCCTTACTTTGCTACTTCCTCTGAGTAACAACAGCTCATACTGATGATGTATTCTTGAAAGAGAGGACCAGGCTCTGCTTGTATCGCTTGAACTTTGAGTCCACCACTTGATACAAAAAATGAGCTTCGCTATCATGTGGCAGCACCTTGAAAAGTGAAGCAATAAAAATGTCAGTTTTTCTTTTCCAAGTTAGATTATGGCTATTTAAAAGCAATAATTTACCTGAGAAAATACAGATAAAAATTTATCCCCCAAAATACAATAAGAGAATGACCCCAAATCTGCTGATGACTGGAAATGAAATGCATTCTTTGTACAAAAAAGAAGGAAACTGAAATGTGTTAGGTACATGTACTAATCTCCTACAGTAAATACCATCTTTCATGCCTTGCTGTCAGTAGTCAGCTGTGGTGGTTGTGCCCACTTCTGGCAGCTCAACCTTTCTACCTTACGATGCTTTCGACCAGCCAACCTGCAATGATGTCAGAAATATGACCGCTCCACTGGTTAAAATTGTTCATCAAAAAGTCAAAGTGCCCCAAATAACTGACTGGGAGCATCTCCAGTAATGCGCATGGACTCTGAACTGTATTTCCGGGGCTCGAGACTTTTTTCCTTATCTTGTTAAAGGAGCACTGCTGGGCTCCCAGGCGTGTGAAACTAAGACACTGGAAAAATCACCAAAGTTACTTATCATGATAAAGTATGTGTAGTATGAGGTTCTCACATGTTGACATACAATTTACTTCCTGAGAACATGAAAAGCAACAGTACAGAGGCCTAAGTGCAAGGGAGGAGAAGGTGTTTTATTTATATGTGGACTTCATTTACCTGTGTCACCCTCATTGATATAGATTGGCGAGAGTTAAGTAGTAAAACCTAGAACTGCATCTTACAGAAAACAAGATAATAGAAAACAGAAAAAACAAGGTGACAAATCATTCTCATTTTCTTCCTTTTTTTTTTTTTTTTTTCACAAGAAGTAAGGTGGTAATAAGTGCTAAGAGTGCATTTCTTCCCTTACTATCATACAAAAATGGCTCTGGGGCTGGTGAGTAGGTAGATTTTCCTATGATTCTCTTTATGGCATTTATTTAGGTTCCAGGAATTGAACTCAGGACCTTGTGCTTACCAGGCAGGTGGGGCGCCACTGAGCTAAATCCCCAGCTCCATTTTATGGCTCTTTGACACTGTTGAGATACAAAGCAAAATGCACCCAAAAGTGAATAATCAATGAAAGCTTGACAATTCGTGTCTCACATTCCTGGAACTTGAAAATGAAATCAATTTCCCAGTCTAACGTGCAGTTGTTTCATTTGTAAAAATAGTTGTCAAAAAAACCTCTTTTTTATTGGTTTTATAATAGAATACCCTGCCAGTCATGTTCATGTTAAAACCGTACAATGTATGGTGTATTACTGAGCTCTTAAACTATGAGAAAATCAAAATTATAAAGGATAATGTCATACTAGGATAAAAATCTGTACATATGAAACTGAGTTAACTAATATATCCTATTCCTTCCAAGCAACAAATATGAGAAGACGACTTGATTACTGTAGAGTGTCATTATCAGGCATTCTGTATTCCCAAAAGGCTCCCCGGCTTACGTGTATACGATCGGAAATATCTGTTGTGCACGTTATTCAGTGACCACCTGCAGATTGCTGCCACAGTTTATGGGTGGAAATTTTCCCGTTCTGAGATGGAAGTAAGGCAGATAGGACCCATCAATTGTACAACAAAGCTCCTCTCAACAGCAGGGAGTGCGTCACCGCATGTACCTTTCCCATTCCTCCCTAGAACACGCTTCCATACTTCCTGGTGACACTGTATCACGCTGTCCCCTGCCACAAGTGTGGCTGCGGAAGAGCCAGATGTGACGTAGCACATCGCTGCAGCCAGCTAAGGCCAAACAGCTAGCTATGAGTTTGTTTGTTTGTATTACCAGCTGTCCTCTTTACTTTAGGAACTTCCCAACTGTGTTTGCCCACAGGCATTTTCCACTGCGTTCCACACCTGGCTTGGTACTTCAGCGCACCCAGAAGGACTTTGCTGTGTTCACGTATTCTCTCTCCAAGACCTTGGCCAACATGGTTTTCTGGGATTATGATCTTGTTACTCAATGTTTAGCAAGGCTCTTGAAATGAAGCTTTGTTATTTTTACATCATGAATTTTATAACGGATAAATGGACTAAGCGAAAACATTCAGCGTATTTGTGCTATCAGTAAAAGGATTTTTTGAATAAACAGTCCTCAATAACTTCTTCTTGATACATTTGTCCTCAAATATCGTTTTAGAAATTAAGGAATGTAAGAAATGCAGCCCAACTCTACTCCACTAATATAAATCAGACATAAACTCTCCAATCCCAACATGTGTGGTTACACTGTACTTTTGTGAACCATCTTGAAATCACAGTGACCTTCATAGGGCTTTATGAGATAAAGGTCCAAATTAATACTTTTGCATGAGGATATAACAATTGCCACAGTGCCATTTGTGGGAAAGTCTATCCTTTCTACATTAAATTACCTTGGGACCTGTGCAAATAATCGACTTATTACAGATTCTCAGTTCAATCCCCTTGGTATATATCCTTTTCTGTATGCAAGTACCACACTATTTTGAGTACTTTGGCTTTGTGTTACGCACCACCCCCCCCCGCCCCGCCCATGGTGCTGGGCATTGAACTGAAGGCCTCACACATGCTAAGTAAGCCCTCACTGAGCAACATTCAGCCCTATTATGTTTTGAAATTAGGCAGTGTAACCCCTTCCTTTTTCATTGTCTTGCTAGTTTAGTCTTTTGCATCTCCACATAAATTTTAGGATCAGCTTCTCAATTTCTGAAAAAAGGCCATCTGGGAATTCAATAGAGGTTTTGTTGAGTATGGACCAATTTGGAGTACCGTGGTACACTGGTTGTCATTACTTGGTTTCAGGTGGCATGACGGGTACCAAAACACTACCAAACAAATTGTTTTGGCCAGAAAGGGTAAGGAATCACAAGGCAATTGACACTGACAAGTTATAGCCTGAACCTCTAGAACCAAACAAATAATAGTACTGGGACAAAATTTTCCCATCAAAAATGTCCAGCACCAAATTCAATGAATTTCAAAGTGGCTGAGTACCAAGATATGACTGTACCGTCATATTAATAATGAATCTTTGAGGGCCGGGGATTTAGCTCAGTGGTTTTGCCGCCTGCTGCACAAGCACAAGGACCCAAGTTAAATCTCTGGTACCAAAAAAAATTAATCTTTGAATCCATGAACATCTCTCCATTTATATCTTTAACTTTTTAGCTATGCTTTATAGTTTTCTGTGTACAAGTCTTATACTTTATTAAATTCATTCCTAAGTATTCCTTTGATACTAATAATTTATTTTTTTGAGATGGAGTTTTTCTGTTCAAGCTCACCTTGAACTTCTGGACTCAAATGATTCTCATGCCTCAGCCTCCTGATAACTTGGACCTTCAAGTATGTGCCATGGTAACTGGTTTATTTTCTTAATTTCATATTTGAATTCATTACTAGTATAGGGGAATACAGTTGATTTCTTGTATGTTGATCTTGTATCCCATTACTTTGTTGGCTCTAGTGTGTGTGTATGTGTTCATTAGGATTTTTTGTAATCTATATATGATAATTAACTTTATATGGTCTTATAAATCTGCTGGAAAAGTAAAAGGGGGTAGAAGCGGGAAAAAGAAGGAAATTGAAATGTGCTATGTGCATGTACTAATCTATAGTAAATATCATTATGTACTGCAAATGTACTAATAAAAGTAAAAAGTGTCATGTGAAGTTTAAGATCAGCTTTTGGAAGACACATTTGATTATGGCTCTGAGAAAAATGAAAAAGTTCTCAGAACTTCATACTGTGAACTGTACAAAAACTGTATGGGGGGCTGGGGATTTAGCTCAGTGGTTCTGCTGCCTGCCTCATAAGCACAAGGTCCCAAGTTCGATCCCCAGTACTAAAAAATAAAGGGAAATATAAGAGTAATCTTCATAACCTTTGGTAGACAAAACCTCAGATGTGACACTAGAAGTACATGTAGCAAAAATAAATTTCATTAAAATTTAAAACTTGCACTACAAACAAAGTCATCAAGAAAGCAGACAATCCACAGAATGGGAGAAAATATAAATTATATGGCTGATAAGAACTTACATCTAAAATTTGTACAGAACTCTTACAACTTAATAAGATAAATAACTTTAAAATGGGGAAAGGGTCTGAATAAACATTTCTCCAAAGAAAACATATGAATGACCAGTAAATGCATGAAAGAATTTTGATCATTAGCCAAATGCAACTCAAAACCACAATGGGCTATCAATTCACATGCATTTAGGGTGACTACAATAAACAAAGATACTAATGAGTTAGCAAGGATATGCAAAAATTAGAGCCCTCCCATGTTGCTGGTAGGAATGTAAAATGGTGCAGCTACATTGGAAAACAGTTTGGCATTTCCTCAAAATGTTAGAGCTACCAGAAATTTCACTCTTAGGTCTGTACCCAGAAAAATGAAAACATACAACTACACAAAAACTTGAACAGTAACGTCCATAGTAGCATTAATCACAATAGAGTAGAAATAATCCAATACCCATCAACTGGCAGTGGATAAACAAAATGTGGTATATAAACACGAGGAAAGCGTGGTGTGGTGGTGCACAGCTGTAATCCCAGCACTTGGATCGCAGTGAGTTTGAGGCCAGCCTGGGCTACACAGTTCAATGCGAGACCCTGTCTCAAAAAGGGGGTGGGGGGCACAGGGATGTAGCTCAGGGTGCCTCTCCTGCCTGGCAAGTGCAAGGTCCTGAGTTCAATCCCATACCAAAAAAATGGGGGGAAGTATTATTTGGCAACAAAAAGGAACAAAATCGGGAGGCTGACCCTGGAGGATCACCATGAGTTTGAGGCCAGCCTGAACTACATAGCGAGACCCCACTTCAAATAAATAAGAATAAAAAGGAACAAAATATGGATATATGCTATACCAGAGAAGAATCTTGAAACTCAGACTGTGTAGTGATGAAAAATATATGTGGCACAAAAGGCCACATATATCATACGATCCCATTTAAATGAAATGTGCAGAAGAGGCAGATCCATAGAGACAAAGTACATTAATGGTTTCCTGGGTGTGTAGGGGACATGCAGTGACTGCTAACAGGTACAGCATTTCTTCTGTGGGGAATAAAATGTTCTAAGATTAGTTTGTAGTGATGGTTTTACAATTCTGTAAGGATACTAAAATCCTCTGAATTGTATACCTTAAATGGGTAAATTGTGTAAGACATCATATTACAGTGATCCATGCACACTCAGGTATATAGCACTACAATTCATAATAGCTAAATCTTGGAAGCAGCAGCCTATAGGTCCATCAACAAATGAATGGATAAAGAAAATGCAATATTTATATACAAGAGAGTACTACTCTGCCCTAAAGGAAGATAAATTTAAGACAATATGAATGTAATCATCATGATGTGCAAACGTACTGAAAAAATACACTTGTTTCATTTTAAGGTATTTGGATTAACAAGGCTATATGCTAAGAGGGGAGAAATTGTGAGAGGCTGCTCATTGGTTCTCTGATTGGAATTAATTAGAAAACACTTACCAGAAGCTGGCATGCCTTTGGGACAAAATGAACTTCAACATGGCCTTATAATTTGAAAGCTGCCACAGTGTCACAAGTGAGAAAAACCATTAGACAATTCTGGTGTTCTTGCATATACTCTTCCCTACTGGGGTAGTGTCAAGTCAAACAGACCTGAATGGACTTTATTCTAAAGCCATTAAAAAAATGTTTTTTAAATTTTTGAGACAAGGTCTCATGTTCAGGCTGACCTTGAACTTGCAACAATTCTCCTGCCTTGGCCAAAACAGATAACTGATACAGTTTAACATACCTTGGGGAAGGAAAAAAAAAGATCTAGTCCCTGCAATAAGGAAATATTTGGATGGATTTAAATTTTTGGAAAGACTGCAAACAGGCTAACGGCTTAACAAAGATTCTACTTAATATACCCGGTGTATTTCCTGAAAGTAAATACTGCCCCAAATATAAGAATAACAGACTTTAAGTATTAGTTAACCTAATAAAGCTGATAAACTAAAACACCATAAGTGTTAGTTTAAAAAGTGAAGTTTTCAAAT